AAGGATACGCTGCAAGACTTGATCGTCTTGATCGTTGTTCGGAATTTAATCGATTATCATCAGATAAATAATTCTCATTTACTAATCTCGCAATAAAAGAATTCATTCTATTAAATGATGTCATACGCACTCTTTTTTTTTCAATATAATAATTATATAACGAAACGACGAAAAAGAACAGAGAACCTTTCGATAATCAATTCTTTACCAAATATTCGAATATAATATAAACAAATCATTTTCTAATAGAGATATTTTATTTCTAACAGTTAACTATTTATAAAGATAACCTTTTACTTTTTTAAACAATTAACCATTTACATTGAAATAAAATCTTCTATTTTACATCGAATTATCTTTTAGTTTCATTGAGAAATTTTTTTTCGATTAAAATATTCTAATAAGATATAATATATGTAAAATCTCGTTTCGATCTTCAAAGATGAGACAACTATCAATCTCGACATTTTTCGATTAGGATTCAATATTATTCTATAGTGACAATTTTATCTCGAAAATAAAATAAAATCAGTTTACCCGATTTTCAATAAGTATGGATTCCTTATTCAATATTAAAATTTATATCTATTTGTTTGTTTTATTTCGCTTTAGTCAATTGAACAATTTTCTGCTAAAACAAATCGAACAACATTTAGTATTACTTGATAAAATAATCGAAATTGAATTATGATAAGCACAAAATCGTTTTCAATCACGACGACAAACACTAAAGTTATCATGAATTCTTCGTTTTGTTTTTTATTGCTGTTTGATTAATTCTATGATAATATTAACAAAATACAACGCATTCTTCCCTTTCCTTTGAAAGAGATCGAGATAGAGAAAATTGATATTAATGTATATAAAGATAAAAAAAGTGAATTTAATTTAGGTTTTTTTTTCTCTTAATCATGAAGTTGGTAAAGTCAATGCAACACCATGTTTTATTTAACGTTATTTTAATTGATTTGTTGATAAATAAATAGGCATAACAAAATTTGTTGAATGACTCGTTGTTGAAAGTATATCACGTCGTTCACTTGTTTTATATACTGAACATTCATATGTCCCATCGGTATTTAATTCATTTGTTTTTATGTGTCATATATATATATATTTTTTTTTTTTCTTTTTTTTTTGTCTTTCTCTCGTTCATAAATCATTGTTCATGTTGTTGTTATCATTGACGACCAATGATCAACATGCACAATGAAATATGTATATCAATTAACCTTTTTGAAATGAACTCTTAATTCATTTTCGACGAGAGAAAAAAAAATGATTTTTCAGCGTATATATACGAATGATTTTCTATGTAAAATCATTTAAATTTTTGAATCAAATAATAATCATTTTTCTTTTTCTATTTTAGATTGACCTCGATGATACAAAATTAATCAAATCAAGATGAAGCCATACAATAAAAAAAAATGTAGGTATCAGTTTTAATTTTTTTTCTTTTTTTTATTTAACGATTATAAGGATGGTGAAGTAAGGCCTCCTATAATCTTTTTAATTTATTTTTTTTTCTTTTGTCTTAGGTTCGATGAATATTTTCAACTATGACAAGGTAACAGTGGGGTAAGTTAACTCATTCTTTTTTTTTTGTCATTATATAACATTAAACTAATTTTTCTTTTTAGGTAGTCATCGTCTTGCATTCAATATCAATTAATAGAATTGTAAGTATAGATTTCTTTATAGTTAGTGAGATAGATAAGGTATGAGTGAGAGTGAGGATAGGACTACTCTAAGATAAGTGAGATAGAGTTATGGGTGTTAGTTAGATCGTCTTCCCAGGTTAGGCGTTAAACACTGGCCAGGAACTATCTTGGTGTCCGTGGCACACGACCAGGCTTATTCAGACTCATTGACATATCTCTCGCGGGGAGGGTATGAATGATATGAGTCTGTCCTGCGCGTGCATGAGCGTTACGCTCGCAACGGCTCCACCAGGATGGTTCCTGGTCGCGCGCGCGCGAATAGAATAACCCATTCATTTCATCAATTCAACGTGATTTATTTGAAAGGAAAGAAAAGAAAAATATCTATCACGACGAGTCTATTCGATTGAAAAGCGTTGAACACGATTATTATTAAAATCGACGACATAGAGATTGCCTTGTCGATCGAAGGACAAACCCCAGGGACAGGTGAACTGATTTTTTCCTTTTCCTTCACCATTTCCACCCACAATGATAGTGCCCTGTTTCGCTCCTTTAGTCCAACGCATCACTCGATGATTCCCCGAGTCTGCCACATAGATGGTACCCAATGTGTCGACGAACAGTCCTTGAGGATGCGACAATTGTGTCAGAGTATTCCCTTGGCCTTGACCTCCAGCGACGACAATTCCTTTTTTTGCACCTTTATTCCATTTCATCACACGATTATTGTCCCTGTCTGACACGTAGACAGTCTGTTGTTGATCGACAAAGATGTAGGTCGGAAAGTTGAGTTGATTGAGACCAGCACCTTCGCCATTGCCACCAGCCACAATAGTTCCATTCTTGTCTCCTATTTGATATCGTCTTACTTCATGTTTCTCGTCGTCAGAGATGTAGAGATATCTCTGATCATCCATGGCCAATCCCCGACAACTGATGTTGTCGATGAGGATTTCTCCTTGAGTTGTACCACTATGACGAGACCATCGAACGACTCGTTGATTGCTCAGGTCACAAATAATGAGACTATCCGTCTCTTTGTCGATCAACACATCGGTTGGCCAATTCAACTGATCCAATCGATTTCCTTGGCCATTGCCACCAGCTACTACTTGTCCATTCATATCATCCATCTTCCATTGGATAATACGATGATTGACGCAGTCAGCGATGACTATCGTTTGATCATCATCAACGAAGAGACCACGAGGGCCCCAGAGTTCATTGGTAGCACTGCCATATCCATGGCCTCCAGCAACAGTCACTCCATTCTGTGCCCATCGGGCATCGACTGGAATATTAGGAATTACTACAATGAACAAAAAAGAAAAGAAATCGTGGTTGTCGAAGGGATCCCGTCTCTCGTGAGAGCAAGCGCTACAAATATGACATTAGTCTTTGAGAATGCTCATTTCGCAGATAAAAATTCAGAAGTCTTTTCCTAGTTTCTTATGAGAAAAAAAGGATTTGGTAACGATTCTTACATCTATGTTACTACTAGTTCTTGCCAAGACCTTTTTGATCATAAAAATAACATCTGGAGATTGCTGTAAGGAGGTTCTCCAAGAAAGAGTAATACAAAGTCCATGTAAGTTTTTGATAGAAAAACATAAGGATCTGAGGATTTTTTTCAGAATTGCAAGAATTCAGAATCTTTTTGGCAGAATGATCATTTATATGAACATTAGAGAAGATTCTATCTGCATCTTGTGAAAATAATATCGAATCGTTGAACAACATAATATCAAACTTAATCCTTATGTTTTTTAGGAAACCATAAGGATACATGATTTTCTGTATGATGAATGTAGATCTGCCGAAGAATCTCCTAAGTATTTGCATAGAGAATGCCGGTGAAATTTTATAAGGCTTTTGTTAAGTTATGTCAAGTTGTTCGAAGAACAACCGCGATGTACTCTGAGTAAGATCATGAGAAGGCTTGGATACAGGCGAAACTGAACAAAGTTGAGAGGATTCCACACGAATCTATGTAATCTGAGAGGGCTTCTACTTTTGCAAATGTTGAAAAGATGGATGTCAATCCGAACTGAGCTCTCCAGTGACAAACATTGGGATCTATGGATTTTATGGGCTTTGAAAAGAAAGTGTTCTAAAATGCTATTTTTAACTTTTGATGAACACCATCTTCAAACCATTGTATAAGGGTCCTCAAAGAGAATTTTGATGACTAAATAAGATACTCTGTCAAAATCTGAAAATCTAAAAATAATGAGTATCTTCTATGAGGATCATGTTATAATCCTTATGTAGTACTTGTTCTGAGAAGTCTTCTGTAAGCTTGCATGTTATGGATATGTTCAGGAGGATCTGAAGAGTAAGTATTTTGAAATGGTTGATATCAGAGATGGGCAATTTCAACTCCAAAGTTGATGCTTTTCCTCATCAGAGTGAAAATGGAGGTGCCTATCTTTAAATTTTATGAGAAAGTTTATAAAGCAATAAATTAATATGCTACTAATTTATATCGATCGTAGATTTAATTATGTTGAAAAACTTATGTGTATTTAAGAGTGTTTTGGCAGAAGTTCAGTTTTGTAAAATTCGACTCGAAATGAAGTTAAATTGAAGTTGGAGTAGGATTTTAGAAAAAAGGTGCAGAGTGGTATGGGGTTCGAGCGGAACACACTGCAGTTAAAATTGATGTGGAGTTTTAGAAAAGAGTGGGATGTGAATGAGTGTTGGTATCCTCTTCACCCTCACCTACACTCACATTCACACCAATACCCTCTAAGGAGATTTCTATGTTCTAGTGAAACTTATTTTGAGTCTGTAGCTCATTGTCTTGTAATATAGAATGTTCAAAAAAAAGTAAACTTGTATTATAATAAGGAGGG